GAGGAGATCATCTGCAAAGGCCGCTAGGTTGGGTTCATGGGGTTGTGCTTGGAGGCCTCGAATGTGTGGGTTGTTCCATATACCTTGTAGGAATAGTTCCATTATAAGGAGAAAAGGGCACAGAGAGAGGGGGCACCACTGTCTCATGTCATTCCTTATGACCACCGGCTCTAATAGCTAACCATTGATTCATATTCTAGCACATGGGGAGGAGTAAAAAGCCTGTATCCAGCGTAATCAGTTGGATCTGAAGCCCATTCATTTGAGAGTTTCTAGCAGGAGGGACCAGCAGGGGCGGCCTTAGGGGTGTGCAAGCTGTGTGGTCGCACATGGCACCATGGCAGCAGGGAGCACCATGCGCCTGACACGGCTCACACATGCCACTGGTAACAGCTGTGGGTGAGGTGCACAGAGCACTCCTATAATGCAGGTCGCGCTACGTAGCGTGGCCTCACGGCACCTGGGGGAAGTATTTCATTATCCTCCACCTGGGTCTATCACACAGAGGACACTGGACATTTTTGGGCAGGAGAGTACTAGTCTTATTTAGAATTTTTCTTTTTCTCATTTTTGTATTTTTAATTGATATTTAAGTATTTTAATACTAATAACAATTATTAGGTTTTTATATGTATTAAGGCAGTTTGCCTGTATTTGTGGGAGGGGCTTAAATTAATTCACTCCCCTATATAAGGGACACCCCTTACCTGACTCATATCGCTTGAGGTCAGCATCAGAATGATTTCCACTTCCGGGTCATCCAGACGCCATTTTACCTGATTACTCCATGAGGTTTTCTAAGCTGAGCTGTGTCAGGAATCCAGCCACAGGCTTTTCCGGCCTACCACCTTCTTTCTATAATCTATCGCTGTGGATGGTGTCCAAGTGACTCACAAACCGTAAGTTGACCTACCCATTACGCCAGGCATCAGTCCCACGGCACCATGCAAGGGTCAGGTCCTCACTTTACTGCTGCATTTTGTCTAAGTCTGTTCTAAAACCATTGCATGTTCATGCATATCATTCTTTAAACCCCCTACTGGTCTTTGGGTGTACTACAGACTTCTTAGACATTATCGCATTTCATGTACAAACCAACGAACCACTGCATCTTTGCCTACACACTGACCCCTACCGGTCATTCGGTGTACTACAGGCTTCTCAGACATTATTGCATTTCATGTACAAACCAACGAACCACCGCATTTTTCACCTACACACTGACCCCTATTGGTCATTCGGTGTACTACAGGCTTCTTAGGCGTTGTTTGCATTTTCATGTACAAACCAATAAACCACTGCATTTACACCTACACACTGACCCCTACTGGTCTTTCGGTGGACTACAGGCTTCTTAGACATTATCGCATTTCATGTACAAATCAACGAACCACTGCATTTGCGCCTACACACTGACCCCTACCGGTCATTCTGTGTACTACAAGCTTCTCCGACATTATTGCTTTTCAGGTACAAACCAACAAACCACTTAATTTTTCACCTACACACTGAGCCCTATCAGTCATTCGGTGTACTACAGGCTTCTTAGACATTATTGCTTTTCATGTACAAAACAATAAACCACTGCATTTTCACCTACAAACTGACACCTACCAGTCATTCTGTGTACTACAGGCTTCTCAGACATTATTGCATTTTATGTACAAACCACTGCATTTTTCACCTACATACTGACCCCTATCAGTCATTCGGTGTACTACAGGCTTCTTAGACATTATTGCTTTTCGTGTACAAAACAATAAACCACTGCATTTTTACCTACACACTTACACCTACCGGTCATTCAGTGTACTACAGGCTTCTCAGACATTATTGCATTTCATGTACAAACCAACGAACCACGGCATTTTCGCCTACATGCTGACCCCTACCGGTCAATCGGTATACTACAGTCTTCTCAGACTTTATTTCACTTCATAAGCAAACAAACTAACTACAGCATTTTCGCTTTTATACTGACTCCTATCTGTCATACGGTAGGATTAACCCCTTAGGGACACATGACATGTGTGTCATGTCATGATTCCCTTTTATTCCAGAAGTTTGGTCCTTAAGGGGTTAAAGGGTATTTTTACCATACAATCAGCATTTATGACCCCTACTGGTCAACAGCAAAACTGTCTTCACATGTCATATACAATTTACCAGCCAATATAAATTACACATAAGATTGTTTTAACCCCTTAAGGACACAAGACATGTGTGACGTGTCATGATTCCCTTTTATTCCAGAAGTTTGGTCCTTACGGGGTTAAACATAACCATAAACCATAAATGAAACTCCAGCACGGGCTCAAATTCAGGTTTAATTCACAATAATTTACATTTCACATCAAGACCAACAGTGGTTCTATCAACACTGCCACCTACAGGTCTGTCAAGTACATTGACAATTTTCATGGGGTTTTACAAACACCAAAACACTTACACCTATAGGTCAACAGACAAACAACATTTCACATACCAATCAGTATCCAACTACACTGCCACCTATAGGGCACTCGGCAGATCTCCAGTGCACTTGCATTTTGCAACACCATGTTCACTGACCCCTACCATTCAATAAGACATACAACAATTCACATAGCAAGCACTATATCAACATCAGGTATAAATACATATATTATTACACAGTAGCAGACGCGTCTGTATATACGTAACTGGTAATATAGTTCACATACATTTTTCACAGCACGCTGCTCACGCAACAGACTTTCCCCTAGCAAGGGGACATACAACATACAAGGTGGGGACAGACCACATTTTCACTTGTACATACGGCACTTAATGGGTTAAGATTGATACATATTTAACCAGTATGGCTACGATGTTTAATAATTACACATCATGGCACTTTACTTTTCACATATACTGTATGTATTAAGATAAGCTTGGTCTATGCCATATTTCCTTATGCCATACGGTTTTATCCAATCAGGTTACAGTTACTACTAAAAAACCTATACGGATTGTCAGGTTCAATACCATACTACCAGGTACATACACCTGCTCACGTAGTTATCCATCTCTTACCTTCCCTGGAATAGTAATAGTGTACTGGCAATTAGGGTTCTAGGGCCCAATAGGTATTACCCCTTTTTTCTCTGCATTATGCTTCGGTTAGTGGTCCCGCGAGGCCAACACCCCGCCTCACACTCGGAGGCATACACCCCTCGGGCCACTCGTGAGCTAGCCGCCTCGCATTGTATCATAGAGAGGACCTCACCTGTCACTCCCCTTCCTATTTTCTGGTTACTGTCACTGAGAGGCCAACATCCTGCCACAACGTTCGGTGGCCACACAAAATCCCCTCGCGCCAAGCATAGATAGAGCCTCTCAAGCCACTTGGCAACTAGCAGGGCCTCACCAGTCACCAAAAAACACCAAGCCTAATCGTTTCGCCTTACGCTTAGCTAGCAAGCCAGTACAAGAACCCTGGGTACAAATAATTGCATCTTTATTGTTATTTAAGTATTTTTCCAAAAGATGGTGAAGAATCACCTCTTCCTAGCACCCCGGCTAGAATTGATACACCTTCAAGCAGAGGAGATGTTGCTAGTCCTGCAGCAATCAGATCCTGGACGATCCCACACATTACCACCCACCTAAGGAGGTGACAAATCCCCTACCCTACTACAGCAAGGAAAGCAGAGTTATTCAAACTCCTCCATACATCAACGGACAACACGGAGGCAGGGGAAGGCCCAGCTACATCAACTCAGGTGACACCCAGGCTATGCTAGCCTCACTCATAAACTCATGAGCCAAAATTTTTATGACAGACTGGCAATCTCGAGTTGGTCACCACAGCCCTCACAAGGCTGGGCCTCACGTTACTGTACAACCAGCACCAACCGAAACTCGGTTACCTGGTACAATCAATTCTTATGACACACAAGATGTTAACCCTGCACGTATGATCCCAGCACATTGGGGAAGCAAGGCATATATATGTATGATGATGTATCTGTGATGGTCAGATTCAGGGATTCCAGGTAAATCGGGAACTGACCATCTCTTGGATGGGTTGGTATTTGGAATATGTAGAGATGTTTATTTGTGCAGGTACCCATACAGAAGGGGTTCTGTCCCAAACAAATGGACGAGCACTCTCAGGCTCCAGGTACCAGCACCTCTGAACTACCAGAGACGATTGATATGAGTAGTTGCATTGCATATAGACTGTTGCATATATGTTCAAATGGTTCAGGGCACATGACAAACCATGTGGCCCAATACAACTTACAAATAACGTACTCACCATCTGTACACACCAATGCATTTTCAACACTACTGACTCATCACCCTTCCAGACTTGTAGTAGATTTACTAAAGCTCTGGAGCTTCAAAGGGCTCCCATACAGGTATCATAAACACACCTTCAAGGAATATAGCATGCCCTCACTTACAGTCAGCACAACAAAACCATTGGCTGAAAACACACTCATAGCCAAGATTTGCAGAGTGGTCTTCCAATCTCCACCATTTACAGCATGGCACCAAACACACACATTGGTATTGTCACAAGGAATCTTCCCTTAAACAAAGACTAACCATAGACTTATTGGCACCACACACCTCCGCTACCCCAAGTCTCAACTCCCTTCTTACTATACAACACCATTGATCTACCTTTACAGCTATCACTCAAGCATGGGTTAAAGCTTGGTTAAGTAAGACCAATATCATCAACGCAGTAAACAGCTACCATCTACCCTACACACTGGCACTTACATGGCATAAATTGGGCAATCCTTTCCCTGCTCAACTTTCGAGCTACAGATTAACCTACTATCGCTATTCGCAGATACTCTGTGCTGGTTATGATAACATATCCAGAGGCATTACAGTCATACACTATCTAGAAGACTTCTTGTTGCTCAAAGAAAGCATATTTTTCACTAGAAGCCTCATGGCAGCTTAGTCTGGTTGACCACTTGGGCGTCCCAGTACCCCATAAGAAACAGAAGGCGCAGACACTATCATCACATTACTGGGCATATGACTTAAGTCGGCATCCATACACGAAAGTTACCACAAGACAAATAGGGAACATTCTCAACTAAATCAATCACTACCTCCTGCTTAGTACTTACAACTACAAGGAACTAAATCCCTACCAGGTTCCTTAATTTTGCCATGCCAATCATACCACAAGACCACGCTTTCACATCCAGAGTACTTTCCCCTTTTTTCCACACTTCCAACATGACGATCAGAGGAGGTGCCTAGACACCTCAGCAACAGCAGACCTGCACATGGGGGGGATTTCTTAACCACTTGGCATTGTAAAAGCATGTTCCTTCCAGGATTGTCTGACACTTCTCCAACCAGATGGTCAGACGCAGCGTATACCACGGGTTTGGCAGCGATCTACCGGGAACAATTGCTTTGGGGCTGTTGGCCATGGCATCCAGGTTTGTAAATTTTTCCACCACTTCAGCCCCTTTGGGAGATCTACCCCATTGTAGCAGCTGCTGTGGCATGGGGTAAATCATGGTCAGGGTCATCAATCCGTTGTTACTCAGACAACTAAGCACATATCATCAACAAACGCCACTACTCATCCATAAGTTCATGATGTTTCTGGGGAACTCACTTGGTTGGCCACTTATCACATTTCACTTTCATGTACCAGACGGGGGTATACATCCCTGCCGACAACTTTCTCATTTATATTCCAGGCATGTTCATCATACGCTTCCTACAGCCGCCCATACAGTCACGTCCACTCTTTCGTTCCAGAGACAAAATCATGGATTAGACATACTCATGCAGCATAGCATGCACTATCCCACCTAGCACTTTCGTCCCATACTTGTAGAACGCATAACACAGCTTTTCGCCTGGCTTAAAGAATCTCATTGGAACACGACATAGCTCAACCTGTGTCACAAAATTTCTCCTAAGTTTTGCTTATTTTTGCCACCTTAAACTTAAACTATCTCATACACCATTAATTATATATTTTACAGGCATTCAACAACACATGATAACCTATGGCCAAAACTACCATAAACTTCATGCTATCATACCAGAAAGAATATACTCAGAGGTTTTCAGGAATCCATTCCCCCACGTTCCTCTCAGAGATTACCAATAGCCATCCAACTGTTCATCCTTATCGGACCTATTAGATCTACAACCATTCAATTATACTACCAAGTCGGCCATTACCAGCCATGCACATTGCCTTTTATGCCTTTCTCAGGCCAGAGAATCCACTACCATCACCACCACTCAGACAGATCATTGTCTTCAACGATCCCACGTACGTAAACACATATATCATTACCTATTGGCTCTACCACATTCCGAAATGAGTCAACATGCACCAACAGTAGAGATAACATACTATCCTACCCACAACAAATGGTGCCCACTTTCGGTCCTAGATTCCTACCTTCAAAATCCTTTCAGGAATTAAATACTGTAATGCATTTAAGGAAATGTCTGGTTAATTTGTATATATTTTGTTGACTGTATTAAATCTTTGATTATTCATTTTTGCCCTCTTTATTTACAGGCCTACCGTATCGTCGGTATCGGCACACCACAACCGACTTGCTCCCTTTACACTATCCTAAGCTTATGCTGGATCCTTACTCCATATACGGCTATTTTGCCCCTTACACAAGTATTAAGGCAGTTTTGCCTGTATTTGTGGGAGGGGCTTAAATTAATTCACTCCCCTATATAAGGGACACCCCTTACCTGACTCATATCGCTTGAGGTCAGCATCAGAATGACCCTCCCACCCACTCCTCATTTCAACACTTTCTCTTTTCTTTCCATTTACTTTACTTTCTTACTCCTTGGTGGGCCCTCTTTATTTACAGGCCTACCGTATCGTCGGTATCGGCACACCACAACCGACTTGCTCCCTTTACACTATCCTAAGCTTATGCTGGATCCTTACTCCATATACGGCTATTTTGCCCCTTACACAAATATATATATATATATATATATATATATATATATATATATATATATATATATATATATATATATATATATATATATATATATATATATATATGCTTAAGTTCCTTATAATGCGAAGCAGCGAATACAATATTTTTATTATTGTTAATTGTATATTTCTCCATCCCCTTTTTGTCCCATCTTTATACATACTTTAAATGAGGATTTTAAGATTCCTGAACGCATCCCCAAAACTATCATGGCCGCTAGGAGAAAAGCACTTTGCTTTATAACATCAAGGTAGCCGCTGTCTTTTGTGAAGATACCGACCGTGGCATTTGTTTCACACTACCTCGTGGCTAAGGATCGGCGTGATCAGGTTTACAGCCTTTGCAGGGACTTTTGAGTTTCGGATCCTTACCCATACCCAGATTGATATTGCGGGAGGCCCCTCGCGCCTCCTTGCGGTCAGGTACTTTTGGGGATATGTGTTAGCTTTCTAGAGGAGCTTTTTGTTATTTGCCAGCTTTTTATTTTATATTATCTCTCTTATTTTCTTTTACACTAGGTTTTTTTTAATGTTGGAATACATGTTTATTAGTGATGTCCCGACCTGTTCACCAAATGGTTTGCCACGAACGGTTCGCCACGGACTCATCATTGAGTAAACTTTGACCCTGTACCTCACAGTCAGCAGACACATTCCAGCCAATCAGCAGCAGACCCTCCCTCCCAGACCCTCTCACCTCCTGGACAGCTCACTAAGAATGCAGCTTCACAATGGATGCTGTCCAGGAGGTGGGAGGGTCTGGGAGTGAGGGTCTGCTGCTGATTGGCTGGAATGTGTCTGCTGACTGTGAGGTACAGGGTCAAAGTTTACTCAATGATGAGTCCGTGGCGAACCGTTCGGCGAACAGTTCGGGACATCACTAATGTTTATTTATTTTTTTGTATTTCTTTATTTTTGTAGTGCGTAAGTTTAGAAAAGTTGCTTGTGAGGTATCCCAAAGGCAATCCTCTAGCGCATTTCAAACATTGTAGCATAAGGGTACAAGAAGATTCTAGCACATGTTTTTATATATACGGTTAAGTCGAGTAGTAAACAATGTGTATTGTAGTAGCTTAGCCTCTTCTATGACATAATGGCAACAGTGCGTAATATTATGGTTAAGTTGAGAATTGACATAAGCCTACATACGTATATACAGTCTAATAGGTGTACGTGCCAGTAAGCCCTCAGTTTCTCTATAGATTTTAAACAGGCTGGGGTTGCAATAGTATTCCATGCCGACTAGTAAAATAGTGCCTATTAATTGAGCGTTTACGTAGTAATAGGTAATGAGTGGAGTCAAATGTTTGTACGCATACAATTCGCATTGTATGTGATATGGGCACACAGTAGTGGTTCTTGCAGGTGTCAAACCCGTGTAGTTGCCGAGGGGACTGGATTGCGTCCATTGTGACAAGGGATGTAGTGAGATAAATAGCCCGTTATCGGGTTGTGGGCACTGCAATTCTTGCCTGAGTGTTTGGTGTCCTGGTGGGTCGTTCAGGTGATGTCCCGTGGTGGGAGGCCGCCGCAGCTTGGTTCATAAAGTTCAGGCTGCTTGTACTGTGCCGTGTGTGTCAGCGCTGGTCTGCTGTGGCATCCCCGGTCCTGACTGTGGTGAGGGGCTGGTGTTGGCTAGATGCGTGCCTGGTGGCTGAGTGTCTCTGCCCTTCGGGCCTGCTCCGGCTGAGCTGGCTGTGCAGTGGGTGGATGGTGTCTGTGGGCTTTTTTTCCCATGGCGATACCATGCTGGTTGCGGGCAGTTTGGACGTTGGCCGGTGACTGTTGGTTCATGTGCATATCCGGCCGCTGCCTTTGATGCCTTTGCCCAGCCTCTGTGTGGTAACCTCAGGCAGGTAATGCCCGTTCTGTGCTTCGTCTGCCAGGTCCTCGTGCCCTGTGGCCACTTTTTTGATTACAGCGCTTCATCAGGGTGATTGGTGTGTTTGGTAAGTCTTGTGCAGGGACTTTTTGTCTTTGAGGCTGGTACCGGTGCGTGGTGTGGGTGCTTAGCCCCGATTCGGCTCCAGAAGCTTGGCAGACGGCCTCCCACTTAGCCCTGAAAGCCTCTGCCCAGGCCTGATCTGTCTGCTGTTGCGGATTAATAGCTCTGCTGTCGGCCATCTTGGCCATGCCTCGTGGAGCCGTCTGGGCAGCATGATTCGGGGTTTGCGTACCAGAGGTGAGTGCTTGCCTTAGGTTGGTGGACCGGGATGACTCCCAACGGTCCGGGGGGGGATAGGGGTCTCTCCGCATCGTGGCCCTCGGTCGTCCAGTCTAGTAGGCCTACGCCGTTTGTCCGGCATAAAAGGCTCGTTTCGCTGTCTGAGGGGAATCGTGCTCCCTTTAGTGTTTCCCATCTATTGTTGGCTCAGTCAGCCCGGTTAGTGTCCGCTTGTGTCGGTAAAAGTGGCTTTACATGCGGATTCTTGCAGGAGCTCTTTCAGTTGTCGACCGCTCGGCACTGCAGTCAGGCCCCGCCTCCTTGGTGATTGTTTTTACTATTGCAACATTTAGTAGGTCTGCCCTTGCTTTTTTTTCCTAAATTCACAGTTTCATCAAAAAAGACTGCCAAAGGCAACGGAAAAAACAAGAGAAGTGAAACGGAACACTTTTCTGGCGAAAACCTGTTGTCATGATTGATAAATCTACTAAGGCCCTGAATATAAGTAGAACATTTAAAAATAGCAGTAAGGTGGTAAATGAGCAATAGCCAAAAAACTGAATAGATTTAATAAATTGTGCCAAAAATAATTGCCAACAAAGAAGATAGGAGCTGTACTCAATCCCAGCAGCCACCCGATGCTGTGGAGCAGGACCAGCAATCCCACAACGATGTGGCAAACAAAAATAAAATATCAAGTTGCAGGCAGTTTTAATGGAACAGAAAAGAGCAGCAATGTTTCTACCTGCTAAGAGGTCTTTGTCAAGTCACAAAAAAGTTCTGCAATGCTTTGATAAACCTCTCCCATCGTTTGTTTCTCCTACCCCAAAGCAATGTGCACTCTGGATTGTGCTGTCAAATGCTAAATCTTTAATATAAATTTAAATGAAAAAGAAGCATCACCTCATAAAAGCATGATACAAGTTATACAAATGTATGTAGTGGTTATGGTGCAGAATGTGCTTTGCAGGATTTAGCAAGCTGTAGTGGTTATACTACTTGGAGAGATCTTTTAATACATATCATTTATGCAACAAAGGCTTAGCCCTTAATGGCCTGGTCTTCCTGCTAGGTGCAAACTGCAGTCCAGTAATATATCCAGTGATAGAGTGTACTTATAGAAAAAAACATAACATTTTCATTTGATGCATCACCATCACACCGTCACCATTTTAATACCACTACCAAACTTTCCTTAATACATCGAGGCAATCGACCTTCAACCTATTGTTCCTGTAAGTTTTTGTAATTGTCTAATTTATCATTAAATCTCCCCCTTTCTTTAATATTGTAAAGCGCTACGGAATCTGTTGGCGCTATATAAATGTCAATAATAATAAATAATAATAATTACGCTTTTATAGTCTGCTTTAGTTTATTTTAAAGTCCTTTCGGTTCTATTTTTCTATTTGAAAACATTTTTAGTTTGAAGTTATATTTTCACCCTGAATAGCTGATCATTGTGCTGGCCTTATAGGGCTATTAGTTCCCAGGAGGGGGGCAGAATCTGGAATCCTGCGCAGTCTCCGGACAGTTTATATTAGACTTCCTGATCACATAGAGAAGGCGGAAAGCTCAGTAGTTTTGGAGAGGAAGGGCTTGCAATGGGGGTGGGGAAAGGGTGCTTTAAACATGAGGCAGTGTACTAAATCCACAGCTCAACCCGAGCTAACAAACAGGGTTTTGCCCAGCCACATCACAGGAGCAGAGGGGAGCAGATACAGGATGCAAGAGTGTCGCTTCCTGTGTTGAAAGATACTCACTTTATTTGCAATTTACCAAGTCCAAGCACAGAACTTTTTACACTGTTTTTTTCCCCTGAATGTGACATTCACTTCTGGCTGGGTACAGCTCACTGAGCCCTTAGGAACTGAATGACTTGTGATGTGGAAAAAGTCAAATTTATCCTTTGTGTTTTTAACCCTTTGTTAGCTGTTGCCCAGCATGGACAGGATGGATGTGACCGAAACCATCGCTGGTATCCAGCTTCCTGGTCACCTTCACACAGCTCAGTCCTTGCAGTACGCCCAGGAGTTCAAGTTCAGAGAAGGGGATATTGTAATCATCACCTACCCCAAGTCAGGTACCAGTGTTCTTCTGTTTCCATGGAAATGTATCATTGTGTGTTTTTCGCAGACTCCATATAGTTCGGGATGCAAGAATGGTTTGATAGAGATTGGTAGAGATTAGCATCTTTAACATCTGTCCCATGGACCACAAGTGCTAACGGGAGCATCCCAGACACGTAACTGCAGAAGGTTTACCACCGAAGTGTGAATTGTTGGGGATAAAAAAAAAGTAAAGGGGCTTATTCACTAAATACATTTGTAGTGAAATGAAAACTGAACTGCAAAATTTAGGGGGGTGGAGGGGGGGGGGGGGAAATCTACTTTGAAAAAAACTCTCTAAATCTGCTGCAGTCATAACTTGCCTGTTTTAGACTGAATTGGGCAATTTGATATTTAGGTAACTACAAGTTTGCGTTCAGTGAATAAACCCCAAAATGAATGTCAAACGCTAGTACACAATAGCCAAACTGGGGTAAGCGTGGAAAATTTTACAGAAATTGCATAAATGTTATGCTAAACTGCTGCAAATTATGCACACAAAGTAGGAGGCAGGCTCTGTGCACCAAAACCACTTCAGTAAGCTTTGATAGCTTTGGATATTGTACACCGCAGAAACACAATGTAAACTGCATTTAAAAGGTGTGTTGTTGTTTAATGTTAGGTTCATTATTATTTGTATGTATACATCTAAGATGCACAAATACTTTATAACTAACTTGTTATAACTGTTTAACTTTTTTGGTAAGTGTATAATTTTATGATCCATATAGTTGTGTTATTGATGTGTCTGGTTGGCGAGTTCAAAGATATGTTTTTTAAAAAATTTAATTCACGTCCAGTTTAACCCCTTAAGGACACATGACATGTGTGACATGTCAGGATTCCCTTTTTATTCCAGAGGTTTGGTCCTTAAGGGGTTAAGAGAGAGAAAAACAACTCTTGCTCATTGATTTTTGTTCATTATTAAAAATAAATGCATACAAAATTTGGATTTTGCAATCTTTCTATAGACCAACTTGATAAAATGTCTATGCTGAACACAAATATACAAATACAAATATTTCTTAACATGTTAAAATAATTAAAGGACCACTATAGTGCCACGAAAACATACTCATTTTCCTGGCACTATAGTGCCCTGAGGGTGCCCCCTCCCGTCCAGCTCTGGGGAGAGGAAAGGGGTAAAAACTTACCTTTTTCCAGTGCTGGGAGGGGAGCTCTCCTCCTTCGATCCTCCTCCGTTCCTCCCATTCGGCTAAATGCGCACGCAATGAGACAGCCGCCAGAGGAATTGGAGGTGGGATTAACCCATTTATAAACATAGCAGTTTCTCTGAAAGGGTACCAGCGAATAAATCTTTTAAAATAGCTATAATATAATAATAATAATAGCTATAACTTTTTCGTGACTTTTATTTTTCATATGACGCTCCCTAGTCTTTTAAAAGTATATTGCAAATTTTGCAATTGCCCTCACAATGCAGTTCAGTCCAGGTATAGGCAAGAAATATAATGCATTGGAGGAGGAGGAAGACTATTCAATGACAGAATTGGGATTTAAAAAAATAATTATCAGGAAGCCAATTTGGAGGTGTTCCATTCCAGGGTAGAGCAAAGTACAGGTGTGTGAATTTCTACATTAAATGTTATTTTACAGACCTAACAAAAATACATTTGTTAAATCTAGGCGATCACAATACTATTCAAAGCCCTGGTTGTGACCATTACCTTGAAGTTGTTTACTGTTATCATTCTTCTAATTTTCAAAAGCGATATCAGTGTAAATATATATCTATGAAATGTCTGGAAATAAATCTGTAAAGATTAGGGGATCTCCAGAATGCTGAATGTATATTATGGTATTTTCCTACTGGCTGCCTCGACGCGTGGAATAACGAAAACATTCCTTCTAAGGAGTCATTAATTAAATTCCACTCCTTTTCTAAATATGGGGTTGAAATTTCTGTCATTAACAGCGTTCCAGTTTTAACTCCTCACCGATAAAATGTTTAGAAAATTGGAGAAGTGATGGCCTGTAAGAGTCAGCTAGTGGAATAGGTAAAGCTCTTCAGTAAAAAGACTGTACCGGACATGAAACTGGCAGAAAATGCAATTATTTCCCATGTGAAGAAATTATGTAAAGTCACCAAATTTTACTATGTAGGACAATGGTTCCCAAACCAGTCCTTTGGACCCGGCAACCGGTCAAGTTTAGCGAGTATCTCCGTTGGATTAAAAAAAGGGAAACAAATCCTGGATTGTTTGGTGGGCCATGAGGACTGGTTTTGAACCACTGATGTAGGATAGAACACGAGTCTCAGGTTATGTCATTTTTCCAAGTTGGAAACCTGTAATATTAATTGTGTTGGTTAACTTTCAGATTAAGTTACCAGCCAGAGCAGAAATGATCAGTCATTATTAAAGTCAACTGGAGATATTCACAATTATGTTTAAATTGCGTTGGATAAAAACTCCAGGCAGCAACACAAGTGTAATGTAGATTAGAAATCACTGAGATTTGTTTTTTTATTAAAGAAGCTATCTGCAATCAGATTTTTGACCATGAGCAAGTAGAGTCAATCATTGGTTTTATGACCCTTTTTATATTTACCCCTTTAAATAATTCATCTGAACAGAATATATGCACAAACACATAGGATGAGATTAAGACAGAAATGGATAAGATGTTGCTTTTATTCTCAGGAACAACATGGATGCAAGAAATCTTGACTTTGATCTACAGTAAGGGAGACCCAGAAGTGGCGACCTCCGTTCCTAACTGGGAGCGTGCCCCATGGCTGGAGCACATGTACTTCAAAGACGTTCTTAAGGAGGGAGAAGGACCCCGGATCATAACCAGCCACTTCCCCAGCGAGTTGCTAGCTCCAGCACTACAAATCTCAAAGGCAAAAGTAAGTCTCCAAATAATGATGCTGTTTAATCCTTGGAGCTTGCCGTTGATTCCTTATAGTTTGACTTTTCAAACCCTTTTAGATCATGATGTGAGTTTTTATCAATGTGACTACTGCCGAGCATGCAAGGATGACTGTAATAAGAGAGTTTAAAAGTTTAAGGACCAATAACAAATTAAACAACTTATTACGTGTGTTACTGGTAATATTACTTATATTTTAACATGCCCTGTGGTTTTAATATGTGGGAACTACCACATCTCAATTGCAGATTCTCATTGTAAAATGTACTCAGCATCAAAAAGGATTTTAAAGGGACACTATAGGCACCACGGCCACTTCAGCTCTTAAAGTGGTCTGGGTGCAGTGTCCCAGTCCCCTTAATCCTGCAATTGTAATTATTGTAGTAATGGAGGATTTATTATTCCCTATCATTATGTCAGACAATGTTTGAATCAGTCTGATGTCACTGCACTGGACAGGGTGTGAAGCCGGGAAGACCATAGAGAATATATTGAGGTTTTCAAACACTGCCTGACCCAAGGTGCATCTATATGGTCAAAGGATCCGGTCATATCGTAAAGATAGAGATGAACAATAGATGAATACAGGTGATACTCGAAAAATTAGAATATCGTGCAAAAGTTCATTTATTTCAGTAATGCAACGTAAAAGGGGAAACTAATATATGAGAGACGCATTACATGCAAAGCAAGATAGTTCAAGCCGTGATTTGTCATAAGTGCGATGATTATGGCTTACAGCTCATGAAAACCCTAAATCCACAATCTCAGTAAATTAGAATATTACATGCAATCAATAAAACAAGGAGTGTACATAGAACAATATCGGACCTCTGAAAAGTATAAGCATGCATATTATTATTATTATTATTATTATTATTATTATTATTATTATTGCCATTTATATAGCGCCAACAGATTCCGTAGCGCTTTACTATATTATGAGAGGGGGGATGTAACAATAAATAGGATAATTACAAGAAAACTTACAGGAACAAAAGGTTGAAGAGGACCCTGCTCAAATGAGCTTACAGTCTATAGGAGGTGGGGTATAAGACACGTTAGGACAGGAAATATCAATCAAATATGGACTCAGTACTTGGTTTGGGCTCCTTTTGCAGCAATTACTGCCTCAATGCGGCGTGGCATGGAAGCTATCAGCCCGTGGCACTAATGAGGTGTTATAGAAGACCAGGATGCTTCAATAGTGGCCTTCAGCTCTTCTGCATTGTTTGGTCTCATGTCTCTAATCTTTCTCTTGGCAATGCCCCATAGATTCTCTGTGGGGTTCAGGTCAGGCGAGTTTGCTGGCCAATCAAGCACAGTAATCACACGGTCATTGAACCAGGCTTTGGTGCTTTTGGCAGTGTGGGCAGGTGCCAAGTCCTGCTGGAAAATGAAGTCAGCATCCCCATAAAGCTCGTTTGCGGAAGGAAGCATTAAGTGCTCTATAATCTCCTGGCAGACGGCTGCGCTGACCCTGGGCTTAATGAAGCACAGTGGACCAACACCAGCAGATGACATGGCTCCCCAAATCAACACAGACTGTGGAAACTTCACACTGGACTTCAAGCATCTTGCAGTGTGTGCCTCTCCATTCTTCCTCCAGACTATGGGTCCTTGGTTTCCAAATGAGATGCAAAAGTTGCTCTCATTAGAAAAGAGGACTTTGGACCACTGAGCAACAGACCAGGTCTGTGTTTCTTTAGCCCAGGTAAGACGCTTCCAACGTTGTTTGTTGTTCAGGAGCGGCTTCACAAGAGGAATACGACATCTGAAGCCCATGTCCAAGATCCGTCTGTGTGTGGTGGCTCTTGATGCACTTACTCCAGCCTCAGTCCACTCCTTGTGAAAGTCCCCAACACTTTTGAATGGCCTTTTCCTGACAATCCTCTCCAGGCTGCGGTCATTCCTGCTGCTTGTGCACCTTTTTCTTCCACACTTTTCCCTTCCACATAACTTTTATATTAATGTGCTTTGATACAGCACTTTGGGAACATCCAACTTCCTTCACAATTACCTTTTGAGGCTTTCCCTCCAATAATGGTTTTCTGCACAACTGTCAGGTGAGCAGTCTTCCCCATGATTGTGATTCCTACTGAACCAGACTGAGAGACCATTTAAAGCAGGGCTGTCCAACCTGCGGCGCCCCAGATGTTGCTGAACTACAACTCCCATGATTCCCTGGCTATCTGTTTCATTGAAAGAATCATGGGAGTTGTAGTTCAGCAACATCTGGGGGCCGCATGTTTGACAGCCCTGATTTAAAGGCTCAGAAACCCTTTGAGGGTGTTATGGCTTACTTAGCCGATAAGAGTGGGACACTGTGAGCCTAGAATATTGCACCTTTTCACAATATACTAATTTACCGAGATTGTGGATTTGGGGTTTTCATGAGCTGTAAGCCATAATCATCGCACTTATGACAAATCTCGGCTTGAACTATCTTGCTTTGCATGTAATGTGTCTATCTCATATATTAGTTTCCCCTTTTACGTTGCGTTACTGAAATAAATGAACTTTTGCACGATATTCTAGTTTTTCGAGTATCACCTGTATTGTAATGTATGGGTTCTCACCATCCGGAAGAAAATTACTTTTTTTCAAGTAAAACAGTTTAGTTTAGTTTTGTCAGATTTTTTTTTTCTTTTTCTATTAACTCTTACTCTGTATCCTTCGCAACCTAAACACAGAATTTCTGATCATATCTTCCAGGTGATCTACATCGCAAGGAATCCCAAAGACGTGGCTGTTTCCTTCTATTATTTCCATAAAATGGCCAAGTTCTTGCCAAATTTCGATTCGTTCTCAGAATTTCTGCAAAGTTTCCTGGAGGGCAAAGGTCAGATAATAGAAAATATATGTTTTAGGAGTTGCAGGATTTAGAAACTCCTCTAATATATCCCTTAAAGGGACACTATACTCATCAAAATAACTTTAGCTTAATGAAGCATTTTTGGTATATAGATCATGTCCCTGCAGTCTCACTGCTCAATTCTCTGCCATTTAGGAGTTAAATCACTTTGTTTATGCAGTCCTAGTCACACCTCCCTGCATGTGACTTACACAGCCTTCCTAAACACTTCCTGTAAAGAGTAATCTAATGTTTAGACGTCCTTTATTGCATTAACTGTTTAGTTTAGAATTTCTTATATCTTGCTCTGTTAATAGCCGCCTAGACTCTGCACAAGCTTCCTGTATGTAATTAAAGTTAAATTTACAGAGCAAGAGATGAAAAACTTTTAAAGTAAGTTACATCTGATTGAAAATGAAACCATTTTGTTTTTATGTAGGCTTTGTCAGTCACAGTCGGGGGAGGTGTGGCTAGGGCTGCATAAACAAAGTGATTTAACAAATGGTAGAGCATTGAGTAGTGAAACTTCAGAGAGGCATGATCTATACACTAAAACTGCTTCATTAAAGTGGCACTATCATGCCGAACTTACCTTTCCCCAATCAATTCCTCTTCTCTCCCTCTGTCAGGATCTGTTCTTCATTTCTTCCTTTCTGCTCTAGTTTTCTTGAAAACATAAGACAAAGTAGGGACTATTTGTCTTACGGAGGTTTCCTACGCCTGACCAGCGGAGGAGCAACGTGTGCTTCATTTCCGGTGGTCAGAGAAATTTTCCCATGATCCTTAGCTTTCCTCCTTGTTCCCGCGATGCTTCCTGTCAGTATTCCTGAACGTCCTGTCACTTAGACGGGACGCCGACAAAACTGCCGAATTGCGTCCTAACAGAATGAGAACAGTTTTTCCATTTGTGTTAGCACGCAATTCGGGACTTTGTTTGCATTGGAAATTCATTCTAATGAATGAAACTCCGTTCTGATTCGTGCCGCTGCTGCATCTTGCAGCCGCTTCGTAGATAACTCCCTATTTCCCTAGGTATTGGGGAGCTCTCTACCAAAAGGCTGAAAGACCTAAATTGGTCTTTCAGCTACATTTACTAATACTAAGTATACATTACTTAGTATTAGTAAATTCTGCCCCTACTTGCTACACCGCGAGTAGGGGAATGTCTATTAAACAGTGAGCAGCCTGAGGTTGCTCACTGTTAAAAAACAAAAAACCCTAGTACCCCTCTCCCCGAGCGGCGGGTGTGGGCCCTAAAGGATAATGAGGGGGGCGAACCTATTGTCGGACCTATTGTCCTCCCCTCGGCCCTCACCTCTGAGCAGTGGGTGGGGGCCATAAATAACAATAAGTTGGGGACCTATTGTCCCCACCCCTGAGAGGCTTATAAAGCCTTGCCCCGCCCTGCAATTAGGCTCAGAACACTCTGATTGGTTGACTTGGAATTCAACCAATCAGAGTGCTAGTCATTTTACACAGAGTGTGAAAGTTTTGGGGAATTTTCCCACGCTGTGTAAAATGACACAGAGCACTCTGGATGGATTTCAAGCCATCCAATCAGAGTGTTCTAAACCTAATTGCAGGGCGGGGCAAGGCTTTATAAGCCTTTCCCCGCCCTGTGGAGCTCAGTCTACGCCGTGCCCTCACCGGGTGAAGATGGATTAATTTTCTTTTTCATTGGATATTTTTTTTTGTGCTCTGGTTTTTTTATTTTTAGTTTTTACAAGTTCGACGGGTATTATGGTTTTTATTTGGCCTTTCTTGGGGCTGAAAAATGAAGATTTTAGAAAAAAGAAGACCTCAAATGGTAAGTTTTATTTTTTTTACAGGTAGTTCTTTTATTCCCCCCTCACTATTTTTAGGGTGAGGGGGGTAGGTAGGGTGACAATAGGTCCCCCCACCCTCATTTTCCTTTATGGCCCCCACCCACCGCTCAGGGGTGAGGGCCGGGGAGGAGGACAATAAGTGTGTGTCCCCTCATTGTTATTTATGGCCCCCACCAACTGCTCAGGGGTGAGGCCCGGGGTGGGGGTACTAGGGTTTTTTTTTTTTTAACAGTGAGAAGCCACAGGCTGCTCACTGTTTAGCAGACATGCCCCTACTCACAGTATAGCGAGTAGGGGTATTCATGGAGATTTTAATCTCCCTTATACTATTATGGTGGTCATATTGACCCCCATAGAGTGAGGGAGGACATTGGGGGACTTAGGCAGTGGTGGGGAGCACTGCTCCCTGCCGCTTCTATCTTTACATTTTACAAGGAGGGAGCTGCATGCCGGTAGCTCCCACCTTGTAATAAACTGAACGAACAAACAAACTAACACTGATATTCAGTTTTTGTTTGTTCGACTGATATTTCTATTCATTCATTCGCCTTTCTGACGAATGAATGAATGTATGAAATTCCCGTTCGCATGCCCAAGTGTTTAACTGGGCAGGTGCGGGAATTTCCCAGCGCTATCTAGTGTGGGCAGATGACGTGTCCCACAGGGACTTCATCTACCCACACAAAGATGGCGGGGCCCTGAACATAGGTCCGGACACAAAATAAAGTTAAAAAATAGGTAATATGGGGAGCTTAGGGGTATTTAGGGGGGTGACTAGGGGGTCAGTTAGATGTAGTGGAGTCGGGAGGGGGTTTAAAAAAAAAACAAAACAGGATTCGACCAGGACAGTGCCGCTTTAAGCTGAATTTGTTTTGGTGACTATAGTGTCACTTTAACTGCTAGTGATTTGGGGTAAAATAGAACTAAGGTACTAATTAATTTTTGTTGTAAACACTGCATGCAAGCTAAAAGAAATCAATCCCGGGAAACAATACATTATACTGATTTCCTTTCCTGATTAATCAAGATAACAAAACTGGTCTATCAGTGAAGTAAATATGGACCATGAACAATGATCCAGAACAACAAATTATGAAAACGATGATTGCAATTGTCCCAAAGTACGTAAGGTGGTAATGTGTCTTCTTTGTCCATTAGTGTCTTACGGCTCTTGGTTTCAGCATGTGAAGGGCTGGCATGAACAGAAGAAGAATCTGGATATGTTTTATATTACTTACGAAGAGCTGCACAAGGTGTGTGATCAAGTTTGAAGCCTCTATAGTGATATTGTTTACAGAGTAAGGCACTAATACTGAAACTAGTCCACGAGTAAACTGGAATTGATCAGGCCACTATATAGATCACTGCACTATAAGAGGCCATCCTGTAGACCAGGGGTTGGCAACCTTTGGCACTTTAGATGTTGTGGACTACATATCTCCTGATGCTTTGCCAGCATTATGGATGTAAGAGCATTATGGGAGATGTAGTCTCTGGAGTGCCGAAGGTTGCCTACTCCTGCTATAGACCTTTATATAGAACACTGCAGGACATTAGACCAGCTTATAGAACACTGCAGGACATTAGACCAGCTTATAGAACACTGCAGGACATTAGACCAGCTTATAGAACACTGCAGGACATTAGACCAGCTTATAGAACACTGCAGTGCATTAGACCAGCCGAGTGCTTTATATAGAATACTGCAGCACATGAGATGAGAGCTTGATATAGAACCTGGCAGTGCATTAGACCAGTGCTTTATATAGACCACTGCAGTGCATTAGACCAGTGCTTTATGTAGACCACTGCACTGACTTAGAAAAGCCTGTTTGTGAGACCAATAAACGCATATGAAATCTTTGGTCATAAACAGAAAAAAAAAATCAAATGTATGAGTACACTTTTTTCCCTCTACTTTTTTCTAGGACTTTAGAAGATCGCTCAAGAAGTTGTGTAGATTTTTGGGATGTCCAATGTACTCCAGAGAGCTTGATGAAATCGAGAATCACAGTCGATTTCCTGTCATGAGTCAGAACTGCATGGTTAATTACACGCTAATATCTCAGGACATCATGGATCATGACCAGAGCAAATTTATGAGGAAAGGTGAGTCTTATCGTATCTTGGTCAGTTTTACTAATCCCACAGTTAAAGAGAAAAATAAAGCATGATTTCATATTTGATTTTTGATTTGGGGAAAAAAATGAATGTTTGTTTTATGTTCCAGGTATAGTTGGTGACTGGAGAGAGCACCTGACAGAAGAGCAGAATGCAGAATTTGACAAGGTTTTTCAAGAGAAGATGTCAGACTGTGATCTTCGATTTATCTGGAGCTTAGAATAGGTAGACGCCAAAAGGACATTTTGTTTACGTATTGGCCTGATGAAGTCAATCCAAGAGGCTGAGCAAAATGTCCATCTTCTCTCATCTAGTAAACAGGAGTTTGGGATGTTTGACACAAATGTTTCTTCTGGATGATAAAATCTGTCCCTCACCACCATACAGGAAATCAAATTATTTGGATTATATTAATTATTGATTAATTTGGATTATAGTGCCTGGAATCCCCCGGCGCTGTCCCTAGATTCAGTATCAAACCATTTTCAAGCAGTTTAACATTCATTAAGGGTCCCTGGCCACCCACAGCCCGATCCAAACTGGAGGTATGGCTAAGGCAGAGATTACAAACTTTATTTGAAATACCTGCAATCGGCGGTTGTGATAGATATAGCGTTGTGAGGTTACTTTTCTCAGTCAGTCACCACCACCCAATGCAGCTCAGGGTAATGCTTCCCCATTACCCCAATCAGCACAGATGGGATGGACTTCTGAGGACTCTCATTTAGCATTAAACCATGTATCAGCTCAACAATGTGCAAAAGGATAGTGCCGGGGGACTACAGACCATCTAATTTACTTTTCTTATAACGTTTTCTATTAATTTACTTTTCTTATACCTTTGTTTTATAACTAGATAAAAAGGTGTAGAAAGTCTTATATGATCAGCACCATGACCTGAGATGATTTGGGTTGGGTTAATTACAATGTTTAATTAACAACACCATCTGGAACATAGCTAAAATGTTTTTATAGGTCTGATGCCAGAAAAACGTAATGCAATAGATAATAGGATGACTACAACATGGTATTTTGGTTTACACAGAAGGTCTTTTTTTTTATATTTTCTTGTTCTGGTGCCCCCGAAATGTGCTTCTTTTAGACTTTATCACACTCCATATACAACGAACCACAAACTCAACAAGAAACCTCCACCCTCCTAGAAGTGATTTTGTTCCTAAATTCATACCGTGTTTAAAATCTAGGAAATAATTTCAATCCTAATTTTAGCAGAAGTTTCAACTTTGTTTTTTTTTCTTACTTATACTATTTTCATATATACTATTATTTCATTTCATCAGCTGTTTCTCCCTCGCCAAAAATAGTTTATTGATTTACATCCATTTTTTTCCTTACCATTTTCTTCTATTGGAACATTGGACTTTGGATATTGTTTGATAACTTGTTAAACATTCTCACTGTTTGTTTTTTACCTGCCTCATTTAGCCGGATGTGCTAATCTATTCATTTTCTCCGTGCACCTAAATTTCTGTATCTTTAAACTTAATTATATTTCTTTTTATGTGAATAAAAATAAAGTATACAAAGGTGCATTATTTTATAAATATAAATTCCTAAATTATCGGTTAGTGTCAGCAAATGTTTCGGGGAGCCTTTTGCGTAGACGATTTAGACCGTATAGTTCAGAAGGTGTGAATGGTTTTTAGAAAAACATTACCTGTCATAAGTTAACTGCATGTATTTCAAAACTAATAGCAGGATGTGGTTGGCATTTCACAGAAAAGATTGTTTAATTGATTGGTGTTTACAGATTAACATTCTTACTCACAGAAATTGGAAAAGGAGCATTTTTAAAATTCAAAAGAGGTGATTAACCAAAGCAAACATTTGGCACAATTTAATAAATAGATTAATCCAAACACAGAATGGTGAATCTAATGCATGGGTAGTCAACCTGGTCCCTACCGCCCACTAGTGGGCGTTTTGGGATTTCAGGTGGGTGGTGGTGGGTTCTGCAGAAAACACCCAGTGGGCCTTGATGGCCGTGGACCAAGGCCGGCAGGGGAGATCCTTTAATCTACCCTGCTGGTCCATGCAGAGTCAGCCTTGCTGTAAGCCCTCTCGGGCTGGTGCAGAGATCAGATTTCCCTCACCAGCCCGCTGGCACTTAGTTCAAGCAGAGGGAGGGAAGGGCCTGGGGGGGCTCTGTGTTCCTCCCGCGAGCGGGCTGGTCAGAGCATTGACGTGTGCTGCGCTCGCAGGAGGACAGGAATGTCAGCCTGCAGCCAGAGGAGCTGCAGGCTAAAGTGAAAATGCCACCACTGGACCACAAAGGGCTTGCAGTATTATGTATCCTCTCCCTGGTAAAAGGTAAGAAGAAAGGAGGGGGAGACATTAAGATATATTTTTACATCTCACCCACCCACACAAAGCATAGACCTTATGGACCCTTCACACACAAACACACACTACACCCCTTACACACACTGCCCCTTCACACATGTACTGCCCCTCTCACAAACGCACAGCACCTCACATACACTGCACCCTTCACACAAACACCCTTCACCCACATACAGCACCCCACACAAACTACACCATTCACACATAAACACACATACAGCACCATTGACACACATATAAAAAAGGAGAATAGAAAAAAAGGGAGAAAATGGATAAATGTAAGTACATTTAAAAAAGAAAAGAAAGAAAATCCTCATTTCTAAAAAAAAAAAAAAAAAAATGTTAAATTGCACCTGCGCTATAAAATGTGTTGTTGTGGTGCTATCCCTTGGTTCAATGTTAAACCAATTATTTATAGTTTAATAGTAAACTAAAGTCCATGGCCACTGCTTATTTTCTGGCTAACTCTTACTTGTTGAGCAGTGACGTGGGTAGTGATAGGCTAAAATTATGACAAAAAGCATGCTTATAGATTTAAACAGAAATTAAGCTGAACGCGTGTTTATGAAACAGTCCACACATAATACTTTAAACAGTGCCTCCAGGTTGCTAGAGTATTTACAAATAGAGAAGTTTTGGTGATAAATTTGAGGGACGTCTATATTGAGATATTTCACAGTCTGCAAGTACAATGCCACATACAGGAAGTGGTCTCAGCAGTATATTTCACAGAAAACATGATAAAATGTGTGAAATACACTTCACAGGAAGAAAAAAAAAAAAAGGTCTAAGCATTGTATCATCATAGTGAACTAGATTGCAATGGATAACTGATACCGCCTAGCCTCCGATAGGGCCACGGTGCTGGGGGCTCAAACAGTTTACTTGTAGTAGGGAAGTGTTTGGGAAAACGTGTGTGTGTGTATCTGTGAGTATGTATCTCTGTTTCTGTGTGTTCAGCAAAGGGAATTAGGTTTTTGAACGTGTTAAATGACACCTTCATGTCGCAAGTTGTACAAGCACCAACTAAAAAGGACGCTTGTCTGGACCTGGTACTAACAAATAATGTTGATCTTTTGACCAACATTCAAGTAGATGAGCACTTGGGAAATAGTGATCACAATATAGTGTCCTTATCTATTATTATTATTATAGTGACCTTATTCCTCTCTTGCATCTGAAATTAGTCTAATACTATCCTTACCTTTTGTGTCACTTTAACCCACTCCCTCTAGCATGTAAGCTCATTGAGCAGGGCCCATTCCGATTTGTGTCTTTTAATGTGATCTTCTAAGTCCATACTAATCAGATTACGGTCAGACCATGAAGTCGTCGTAATAAATATCTTTTTAATCACCTTTGTCACAGCTCTATCACCTAATATCAGGTCAATTCTAGAATATGAGTTAAAAAAATCTTTTTCGTTGGGGTGGAAAATCCACCAACAATCTAACAAGGCAAAAAGCTTAATTATTTCAAAGAATTTAGCATTATTCAATAGATTTCAGTTTTTTTTTTCTTTTTTTTCAATGATCTTTTGTCTAAATCTGGGTCTAAAATGCAGTTAAAATCCCCCATTAGATGGCTGATGCCACAATGCCTGGGACATGAGCCCCGGTTCGGGCAGCGCAGCAGATTCACCAGACCTCTCATGCAGCATCTCATCCAGAATAGATGCAATCTTTGCCCGCTTCTGGGCCAGGCTAGAGGAGAGGATGTCACAAACGAACCCTGACATGAGTCAGGTAAGGGATGGAGGGAGCTACTGCGGAAGGAAGCCTAACGGTTTCCTGTGCACCAAGCTACTGCACCGTGGGCTGTGCCTTCCATCCCCAACGATCCCGTACTGAGACCCATCAGAAGGCTAACGGAGACGTGGATCACGCCAGTCACCCCAACCTGCATGCTTTCTCCCTGATGGGAAGATTAAAGCGAAACAACCAAGCTACACCAGGAGTCATGCTGATTTCTTGCTCTGGGAGGAAGAAGCTCACCTGTGACACAGCAGAACTGATCAAGCAAGTGGACTGCCCTAAAGTGTAAAGAGACTACCCAGCTTGGGTATAGGATGACTGCTCAGTGTTCTCCATTAAGTGCTACCAAACCATGTGGACACAGGGCCGGAGAAAGGATTTTTGCCGCCCTAGGCAAACAAAAATTTGCCGCCCCCCCCCCATATGTCCTGCCCATCATGTGACATCACAATGCCCTGCCCATATGATCTGCCATATGGGCCAACGCCAGTGCTGCACACAGTGTCTTTTTATATGAGAAGGCAGTGTATTTACATTAAAAAGCCTGCAAGGACAGGCTATATACACCAAAACCACTTCATTAAGCTGTGACTATAGTGTCCGTTTAATGTAAGGTAAATTAGAGACTAGTGCTACTAATAATATACTGGATTGCCTACTTACCACCAGAAGAGGACAAGAGGATGATGATGGGCTCAGGCTGCAGTCTGGCTCCACTGGTCTGGTGTTAAAACAGGCTCTCTGGAGACTGTTTGTAACCGGGCTCACAAAAATCAACGAACATGAAGCATCTCCATATTTTTTGGGCCCCTTACACAGCTCAAGGTCTGTGCCCCCAGGGCCTGACCGTGAGAATGCCTACAAGGCCCGCCCATAAGTCCACCTACATGGCCCACACAGGAGTTCGCTCACAGGGAATGGAGTGTTGGGGATGTGTTATTGTAGAGGATGTAATGTGTGTGTGTTCTTATGGAATGTAGTGTATAGGGATTTCAATTTGTGTAAGGGGTGTAGTGTGTGTATAGGAGATACATTGTGTGTTTCTCTGTGTGTGTGTGTGTAAGAGATGCAAGGTGTGTTTCTGTGTATGTAATGCAGTGTGTGTCTGCAAGGGGTGCATTGAGTGTATGTAAGAGATGTATTTTGTTTATGTGTGTGTAAGAGAAGCAGTGTGTGCATGTAAGGGATACATTGTATATTTCGGTGTGTCTGTGTGTGAGTAGAGATGTATTGTATGTTTCTGTGTGTGTGTGTGTATGTAATAGAGGGCTTGTGGGGTAGGATAGGGGCTGAGAGGGGAGCAGCTCTTTATTTTTTCATAGTGCTCTCCCCTCCTGTCAGTTAGTGGTCTCCTCCTCCTCTTAGTGTTCCTCTCCAGTCCCCCCCTCTCTCCCCTTAGTGGTTGTCCCTGTCCCCCCGTCCCCCTTTAGCGGTCCTTTCTCTCCCCCAACCCCTTAGTGGACCTCCCCCAACCCCTTAGTGGACCTCCCTCTCCCCAACCCCTTAGTGGTCAATTTTATACAAAACGTTTTGAATTAATGAAATTGGAGACGTATTTGGAGCATAGATGCTCCCCCATTCTATTTGTATGCACAGTCTTTCGCTTAACACTAAGTGTAAGTGTGTATATTATTATTGTGTTATACAGTATCTTTCTCTTACATAAACGTAGATCTATCCAATAACTTCAAGTGATTAATACAAACTTTTTTTTTCCTGGTAAAGAGATTTCTACAAATTGTGTATATGTGCTATATGTAAATTATGTGAATAGATATTATTTGTTTAGTGTTATCCTTCCACTTTAAATATATATGACCCATACCTTCCTCTACCATTATTTACGTGATATTATAAAAACGATAGTTCCTTAAAAAACCCTCATCTTTCTGTGATAATCTTTAAAGTATTCCTTTCTTATTGATTTTCCATTTATACCTAAACTCATATAATCTCAAATTATAGAGTGTAATGGTATGTATATTGTTTACTTTTGATTTATTTTTTTTATATAATTTTAGCTACGAACCTTTTCAGTAATTTTACTATACAGCAATCATTTAAAAAAAAAAAAAAAAAGTCTTGAGTTATTTGAATGGGTCCTTACAACACCAAATTTCATCACTTGTACTTCTATATTAGTTTCTATGACAATATATTCAAACACTCACATTATACTATTTCTCACCAGATGTGCATGCTGTTCTATGTTCATTCCTATATCTATATAGTCAAACCTCCAGCTCTAATTCATCTTTTTTCCTGCCCTTTCACCTCTCCTTCCCTTTACTTTACTCAGATCCCCTCTATTTTTACATTATTACAACATTGCAGTGTTACCCACAAAAGTATTTTCTCTTAGTTTACACTCCTTTTCTTATGCTTTTATGTCTTTTGTTTAGTTTAAAGGACCACTATAGTGCCAGGAAAACATACTCGTTTTCCTGGCACTATAGTGCCCTGAGGGTGCCCCCACCCTCAGGGACCCCCTCCCGCCCGGCTCTGGAAGGGGGAAAAGGGGTAAAACTTACCTTTTTCCAGCGCTGGGCGGAGAGCTCTCCTCCTCCGATCCTCCTCTTCTCCTCCCCGTCGGCTGTATGCGCACGCGCGGCAAGAGCTGCGCGCGCATTCAGCCGGTCACATAGGAAAGCATTCATAATGCTTTCCTATGGACGCTGGCGTGCTCTCACTGTGAAAATCACAGTGAGAAGCACGCAAGCGCCTCTAGTGGCTGTCAATGAGACAGCTACTAGAGGATTAGGGGGAAGGCTTAACCCATTCATAATTATAGCAGTTTCTCTGAAACTGCTATAATTATGAAAAAATGGGTTAACCCTAGAAGGACCTGGCACCCAGACCACTTCATTAAGCTGAAGTGGTCTGGGTGCCTAGAGTGGTCCTTTAAGCTCTTTTCTTGAAGCCAATGTTTAAGCGTCTGCGGTTTGTTAAAAATGCATTTTTGTCAGGATCCTATCCTGGCACGCAAGACTTTTTGTTCCGTTGATACTGTTTCTTTGAGAAACCAAGTTCCTGTACGGATTATGTTTTACCACTAGTGGCCTCTCTTGCTTCTAGTTTTGGACACTCACCTTATAATCCTCACCTGCCTGGACTAATTGGGTTCCTACGAAAGGTAACACCACACTCACCTCATTGCCTTTGCATTGAAGATGTTGATCTGCCTGAAACTTCATATCCTGGCTCCTGTGAACTTATCTTATTTGTTTCAGAACTACTTACTCCCAACCCTGCTTAACACCAGCTGAACTACTTGCTTCCAACCCTGCTTAATACCAGCTGAACTACTCTGCATTCCTGTTTGACATCTAACCTGCAAAATACCATCCTGAACTTAACAACTATCCAGCTTTATCCAACCATCCTGATATTTACCTACTCAAATCCAAACAACCTCTCTGCTCTATACCTGCATCATAACACCACTCTGAACTCTGCCTCATAATAATTACATGATGTTATTTCCCTGTTTAAAGGGAAACTCCAGTGCAAGGAAAACAATCCATTTCCCTGGCACTGCAGGTCCCCTCTCCCTCCCACCCCCCAATCCCCGGTTCAGTAATTTACCAGAGGCAGCGACGATGTCCCACGTCGCTGCTTCTTCCTCCGCCGCTGCTCCTCCCTGTGATTGCGTCGGCCTGTGGGAGAGACTGATCCCGCCCACTGGCCGGGGAAACCTAATGCACATGCGCGGCAAGACAGACACTAGAGGTGGAGTTAACCCTGCAATGTAATTATTGCAGTTCATAAAAAAAACTGCAATAATTACACTCGCAGGGTTAAGAGTAGTGGGAGATGGCACCCAGACCACTCCAATGGGTAGAAGTGGTCTGGGTGCCTGGAATGTCCCCTTAAGCAAACCTTATTAATTTAAGTTCTCCTTTTCTTGCAACCTTATTATTCTGTCTAATTTGTCCTTCTATGTAACCTATAATTTATATCTATAGGTTTTCTTATTTACTTCAATTTCTGATTGTATTCTACTTGGAGCATATTGCCTAACTCCTGTTTTCGGTATACCTTCAATTTATGTGCCTATAATTTCTCTTGAAGGTTATTCTTAATTCTCCAACCTATAATTTCATTTGTAGGTTTACCTGTTATTCTATTTCCACCTTGACCTTTTTGTCTAAACCCTTTATTTACATAACCTAGTTCTCCTTACCTGTAAATTCAGTTATTCAGATCTGTTGCTTTCTCTTAACTATTTTATTTAAATTATCGGATATACTGTTTATTTTATAGGGATGGGCAAAAAGCTCGGACTTCGGCAATTCGGGACTTCGGTTCGGGACTTCGGCAGTTTCCTAAGCCTAACCCCAACCTTCCTCTACCCCTAACCCTAGTAGGGTTAGATTCCTGTCATCATTCGTTTAAAGGGACACTATAGTCACCCAGACCACTTCAACTCAATGAAGTGGTCTGGGTGCTAGGTCCCTCAGGCTTTAACCCTTCACATGTAAACAAGTTTCAGAGAAACTGCCATGTTTACATTTGGGGTTAATCCAGCCTCTAGTTGCTGTCTTCCGGACAGCCACTAGAGGCGCATCTGCGACGCTGGAGATGAATTTTGCCTCCATCGCGCAGAGCGTCCATAGGAAAGCATTGAGAAATGCTTTCCTATGGACACTTGGAATGCGCCCGTGGCATTTGCCACGCATGCGCATTCGGCTCCAGTGACGGCGGACGGGGGAGGAGAGGTCACCAGTGCCGAGGGAGCCCGGCGCTGGATTAAGGTAAGAGGCTGAAGGGTTTTTAACCTCTTCAGCACCACGGGAAAGGGGACCTGAGGGACTATAGTGTCAGGAAAACCGCTTTGCTTTCCTGACACTATAGTGATCCTTTAATTTTCCCTCCCTCTCCTGTTTTTTGCTACTTTTAAGAAATCCGAAGCACATCGGACATTCGGAAACATCCGAATTGCTGAAATTCGTCCGAATTTAAATTCGGACCAACACTAATTGCACGTGTCTATTTTATAATGTCCAATTCCAGCAATTAAGATCCTAATGTTAACCCTGGCAATCGTCTCCTTCCTGACCTGCTCAGGATAATGCCTACAAGGCCCGCCCATAAGTCCACCTACCTGACCTGCTCAGGATAGTGACAATTTTTGATTTTCACAAGTTAAGTTCAATCATATCGGGAAGCCCCAGGCATATTTTATTTTCAGTGTTTTTCTCAGTGTAACAGTAGAAGACACATAAGCTTTCCTATTCAGTCTTGTTTGTGAGGATGAGCCTTGAAAAAGTTTTATTTGAGAATAAAGTGAATCTTTTAAATCTTTAGCGGCACAAGCGCGTATCACTTTGTTTTTTTAGGTTTGATAAGTCTATGACATATTTCGAAGTAATTAGCTTCATTATTTGAGAGTAGTACCAAAAAGTTACAAAAGTCTTCACAGTAGTCTTCTAATTTGGAGGATGTTATATTTTCAGGAATGCCTCTTATTCCAAGATTGTTTTTGCGTGACCTGCCTTCGAGATCACCAATTTTATTAAGCAAACTTTCCGGTTATATTTCTTCGAATGTTTTCAACCTTCCAGTGTTTGGTCTGTGTTTGTAGAGAGATAATATCAGTCTTCTCCTCCATAGCCATTAGTCTTTCTCCAATCTTGGCTAGGTCACTTTTAATATCGCTAGAAGAAAATGTAATTTCTGCTTTCATTTTTACAAGTTGTGCCTCAAAACATTTAGCTAGATGCTCTGCGGTAATAACAGTCAGGTCTGACCACTGGTTTTCCGAAGACCCTCTTTCTGTGTCAGACTCTTTATTTCCGAGAAAGGGTTGAATCATCTTGTATTCTGAGATGAATTCCTTTATTTGACTGGAGAAAAAAAAATTAGATGCTCTTCTTAGATTTTTTTTTTAAAATAGCTTGTTTGCCTTCCTGTATTTTATTTTTTTTGTCATATTTTTCATTTTCTTTCCTTTTTTTTTTTGCTTTCTCTATACTCATAGCAAATTATTATGGCACTGTTCACTTTAGCTATACAGTTCACAGTCCCTGTCATAAAATAGACAGTATTGCAAGTCCTCCCTTATTTTGTAATAGCAGGTTTAGGGCACAATTAATAAGGCAGGTAATATAAATTAGGTTTTACCTTACCAGGCCGTTTCAGTCTTCCAGCACCTCCTTTTTTAATTTTTATTACAAAAATATATATATATTTTTGCAGTGCATAGGAGTATTACAGACAGGCCTGAGGTACCCCAACGGCAATCCTCAGGCTTAGCATTGTTTTAGATAAAGAATGCTCAATTTTTACTTTATGAGCCAAAGTTAAACAAGGTAGTAACATGTCTAATTAGGTCTATCCAGTTGAAGGTCATGATACAAGCTAATTGCCAACGTATGAAGTGAGTGGTTTGGTTAGGAGACATGCTAGGTTAGGTAATATATGCAGAGAGCATAAAATAACACTTCACTATGCTAGGTATGAGAAGCTAGACTCCCAAGAAGATTAGTAGTCATATCAGGTCGCTTGGGTGTTCGCTTTGCTGCGCTCTGCCGGTGTGGCCAGCACCTCTGTGGTGCGCCCTCCGTATTGCTCTCAGCCCGGGAGGGCCTTGGATGTGGGAGTTTGAAGCGTGGGTCTTGGATGCCCTGAGGAGGACCCCCAGTCACCCGCCTGCCATCGGCTCTGACCCTCGTGTGTAGGTTTTGGCAAGGTGCTTCAGGCTGTAAGCGGGCCTGTAACTTGGCCCAGAAGTGGTCAAAGATTAGAGTAATGGGGACTCTTGCGTGGTCCCCGGTGTCCACCACACCAGGTTGTTGTTGTCGCTTGTCAGACACTGTCGTGTCAGTGATCCACCATCTTGGGTGCACACTTCTCTGCATTGCTTATGGAGGTCATTGTGCCTGTCGTTTGGTGCGGGGTGCGGGGCATTCTGCCTGGCGGGGACCGGGATATACCCCACCGGTCCATGGGGGAGGGAGTGTGTTTTGCACTCGTGTGTTGCATTTGGCATCTGGCGGGAAGGCGGCCGTCCTTCGCCCGTGCTTCCACTAGGCCTCATTCTGCTGCTGTGGTTCCCGGACGAGTCAGGCTTCGAGTATGGTGTCGGCGTGTTTGTGGCTGCTTCCTTTTGCCAATGGGATGATTTGTGGGGGAATCGCAGCTGTTAATCTCGAGTTATCCGCAGAGTTTGGGCCCTCACTGCAAGAACTCGTGTAAAGTGCGACTAGTCAGTTTGCCAGTTCGGCTCCGCCCCCCCTTTTTAAATTTTTATTTTTTTACATTTATTTTTTTGGTTTGTTACTCCTTTTCCCTGATTAGATCTCCCAGGCTCCACCGCTTGGGTTGCTGGAGTCTGTCCTTTATGCAGAAATAAAGGAATTTAATTGTTTTTATATGTCTAACATGCCTAGAAACATTGGGAGAGTAGTAGCAAACTTAATTTTGGTGTATTTGCCTAGTACTTGATAATTATGTCTATTCCTACCAAACTGGATCCACTGAAATGACCCAGAGTCGTATTATTGGACACAGACTCAGGGATTGAAAACCACTAACAAAGATTCAACCACACTTCTATATATCATGACACTCCTAGCAATCTTTATGTCCCGCGAAGGGTTAACACTTCATTAAGACAGAAGGTGTGTTTCAATGCAATCTTGCAGAGCTGTGTAGTGAACCAGAGCAGGCAGGTTAGAAAAGCCCCTTTAAACAGTGTCATGTGATCTTTTAAAGGGATACAGTGATATACACCTGTCACCTGCTGTAACCTTGGGCAACTATTACTAAGCAAGCAACTCGCCTGGGCTATATCATGTGACACTACGAGTGCAGGGTGATTTTGCTGTTACACAGACAACAGGACTGACTAATCCTTACAAAGAAAAATGGCATAATATATTCCAAAAAACGCTTTCAAGTTCAGTCCCATTAACCTGTGGATTAGCTAAGCAGTTTCTGGACACACCTGTACTGGGCTCTATGCAACGTTAAACAGCCTTATTAATCCGCAAGTAAAGGTAAGTCTATGTAATGACTTGCTACATGTGCTTTGCAATCTTTACACAGTATTGTGTACAGGTAAGAGGATTTCCCTGTCTACTACCTGCTATGTTCAGAGTTATTCACCAAACAGGGTAATACACTAAAAAATGAGCATTCTTTTTCTGAAATTCAAATGCAAGGCCAAACTAGCCAAAATAGAAACATTTCTCCATGTCAGCTATGTGTTCGGTTCAATTACTTTCCCTTTAAAATTTAAATTCATTAGGAATTCCTGGAAATTCTCAATTTAGTGAAAAAACCTGTAAACTGTTGATTGCTGGGAACTCAAAGCAAATTTTAAATTTCAGGCCCAAGTAGTCAAATTGAAGACGGATGACTTGGAGAATTAAATTAATTCAGCTGTGGTCTAAAAGGGGGGAGGGAGGGGGTGAGGATCAGCTTCGCACCGGGGCCCCATGGATTGTGTGTATGCCACTGCCACCCAGACCATTTTATTTCAGTGAAGTGGTCTATATGACTTAAAGGACCATTCTAGGCACCCAGACCACTTCAGCTTAGGATTAACCCATTTATTTATAAACATAGCAGTTTCAAAGCCGCCTCTAGTGGATGTCTCATTGACAGCTGCTAGAAGTGTTTAAGTGTTTGCGTGCTTCTCACTGTGAAAATCACAGTGAGAAGACGCAAGTGTCCATAGGAAAGCATTATGAATGCTTTCCTATGAGACTGGCTGAATGCGCACGCAGATCCTGCCACGCATGCGCATTCAGCCGAAGAGGAGGAGGAAGATTTTAACCCCTTCCTCTCCCCAGAGCCCGGCGGGAGGGGGACCCTGAGGTATGAGTATGTTTTCCTGGCACTACAGTGGTCCTTTAAGTGGTCCTTTTAATTTGCTAAATTTGGTTTTCAGTAACCAACTGTGAAAGTATTAACATAAAAGCAAGGTAATTAATCAGCTCAACTCCGTGGCATTGTAAGTAAAACACACTGTCAGTTTATGTACTCAGCAGCATGACAGGTACCTCTCTCCTGACATGTTTCTAATAAATCAAAAGAATGCAGTATTTTGACTTTTCTTTATCTCTCTATTTGTGTGTGTATTGTTGCTTCACTGGAAATGTCTTCAGATCCACGTGTGTTAAGCTATGCACTAACAAAATAAAGAATGCAAAAAAAAAGCAGGGTTAAGGGGGAGACAGATGGTCTCCGAGTTTTGCTTTAGCTTTATAGTAGGGGATCCTCCTATTAAATCATACAATAAAAAAACAGCAGCTATCACACACACACACATAAAAAACTCTTTTTGCAATGCTATGAGAGAATGTGTCTCGTGCCAGTGTTGGTTCCATGGGGTTTTGTGAACAGGTCTATCATCAAAGGTTACATGTACGCATGGATGGCTGGCAGTGTCACTTTATTTGGCAATTAGTTCAAGAACGGAGCCAACCGATCACCCATCATTTTAATATTGTGTCCTCAAACAGAATAAAAAACATACCTCCCAACATTTCAAATGGATATAGGGGGACACTTTTTCATTTTAGGGGTGTAACTAAAGGTGTGGCTAGAGGTGTACGGAGACATCTTAAATTACTTGCTAATAACCGTTTATGCAACTACAATGTAATTTAGAAAAAGGAAACATTTTTAAATTTTATATATATATATATATATAATTTTTTTTTTTAGACACATTACAGTATTATTGCTGTGGAGCTCTGTGACATACTCGGACATGGCAACAATGTGGAGATCTTAGAAAATAGAGACCCTAGGATAGAAAGATGGACAGAGGGGGTTGGGTCCACAATAAGGACTGTCCCTATTAATTAGGGACAGTTGGGAGGCCACATAGCTGTAGGTCTTTACAGTAGCACGATTATTACGAAATTAAGCCACTGTTTGTGCCTCCCCAATTCCTATTTTCCCCCCTAATGTATATTTGTTGTATTTGAAGTTCTAACCTGACTGGGTTGAACCCCACACAAGTACCCCATTAGAAGTAACCACAGTACAGAGTTAATTACTAATCCCTTAATTTTAGCAAGTTAATTCTGAAAAGCAAAATTCAGGCTTAAATAGTCGAGCAGTAACTTTCCAAATCAACTATTTGAGCCTGAGGTTTTCCAATAAGATTTAACTCATTTAAATTTGGAATTTAGTGGATAACCCTGAGTATACATTAAAAAAAGCAGTATAAACGCCATGACATGTGCACGGTCGCCTTGTCGGCATATGCATAAACCCCACCATAGTTTTGGCAAAATTTATATCACAGCTTTATTGATTCTTAACATAAAATATAAAGGTCATTGTCAACAGCAGGCCAACGTTGGCCTGCACAATTACCATCCTGCATTTTACAATTTTAACCCCCTGACAATGACCCACTCCCACATAACATAATACCAAACATTGTAACATTTAACTTAACATTGAAACATGACTATTGCCACCAAAGGGCACCATCCACTGCCACCAAAGGGCACCACAAGTGTAGGGGCATACACATACACACCCCGGTTCGGGGCTACCTACGAGCTCGAACCTACCAAACCAGTCCAAAGGCCTACCTATTAGCCCTGAACTCCAAACTTTTTCCCCATCTCACTCTTTTCTCCCCCCAACTTCACTCTCCATCCCCCGCCACAGCTCAGAGCTTGACTCCGCGTGTCGCCAGTGAAACCTCTGAGCCATTTCCGACCATACGACCATAACCACCGGCACCAACTCCCTCAGCCTGACCACATCCCTCTTCATACACTCAATCAATACCTTTTGAGGCAACAACCTCACATCATTGCCCCCTGCGTGAAGCATCACTATGTCCAGAACCTGTCCCAAAAGAATTTTATGAAACATTTCAACACAAATTGCATTCCAACCCCAACCCCGGTAACCAAACCACCGAAGCTGAACCACGGAACTTGGAAAGCCCAGCTGTAGACCACGATGTCGAACTGCAGCTCTCCGATGCGCCCAGTATATGTATTAGTGGCCGACCACCCATGCCATCCGACCTGTAAGACATAATGCAAACATAGACAACCACAAAACAACCGTGAAACCCAAATTCCCCATCAACCACCCGTAGGATTTATACCTTCTTCACCCGTTCATCCCCCAAGCCCAGTCTTCCCGCTTCAGTAGCTGCGCCAATCCTAAAGGAATGAATCCCGAATTGGCCAACGCCTTCCGAAAAACCCTGAGGAACTGGAACTTCGATAGCGAAGAGCCGTCCTCATGCTTAAAATATGAACTCCCGGCCTTCGCCTGCTCTTCCTGGAAGGCTGCTGCGCACCTAACCGGACACGTTTTCCCACCCGGGAGCTCCCACAACGTAACTAACGTCCCTTTTCCCACTACATCCGTTTTGGACCGCCTCAGGTTGATCACTACCCTGTTACTCCACACCTCCACATCCACGCCTGAAGCCCCCTGTCCCCTTGGCTATTGCTGCTGACCAGCTCGCTGACACGAAATGCCCCGAAAAAAGCAAAACTAAAAACCACGGAGAACAGTGTAACTTCGTACCCGGCAAAACACACCTCGGGCAGCACCCGGACCACCCAATGAAGCAACTCGAACGTCACAGGCCTACTGGAATCCATCGACACCTTACCCTGCCTTAACCTTTCAATGCCTGCCTAACGAGAAAATGTTTCGTGGCATCCTCCCACCCATTAAACTTGAACAAAAAGGCTTACGCTGCTAGTTTGCGCCGGACTACCGCTGCCGAAGCCCCTGAGCTGAATGACTTACACAAGAGCCACAACATCGCGTCCAACCGGGCTTCCTTTGAGAGCTGACCCCCCCCGTATGCTGCACCAGCTCCTCCCATTCCCCCCACACCTTACTGTACGCCGTCCAGGTAGTGGGTCCCAGGGAGACCTGATCAGTCCACCAAGCATGATGTCCCGAGCCGCCACATCTCGTCCTGGCAAGACATCCCTTCCGCCCCCGCGCGCCAGGTGCCACCTGCTGGAATCTCTCCCACTGCAAAAGAGAATGCATCAGCAATAACATTCAACAGTCCAGGCACGTGGCGTGCCCGAAAAACAATATTAAAACGCATACAGAACAAGACAAAATGGCGAAGAAGCCGCACCACCGGGATGGAGGACGCTGAAAGCCCATTTACTGCATCTACCACCGCCATATTGTCCGAAAAGAATACAACATTCTTATCCCTCAACTGTGGACCCCATAGGGACAGTGTTACGACTAACAGGAACATC